CAGGAATGGGACAGCCCTTCATCCTCCTCATCATAAGCCACCTCCTTGGCTTCTTGTCACCTGTGTGCATCCTTTGTTGTCGTGGATGGCTTCACAACCTCCCTGTGATCTGGCTGGGGCTTTTTGCAGCACCCAGTCCTGCCGTCTACCCCATAGGATGGGGTGTAAACTAACGATTCCCCCAGGCAGAGCAATAAATGAAGGATATTGCCTCTCCTTCTCCGTGACTCTAAGCAGGCAAAAGCCCAACAACAAAGTCCAGCTCATTGCAAGTATTTGCAGCTCTGGACATTTGAACTGCAGATATGATCGGTTGAAAAGACATGAAAGCATGCAGCTCACTCAGACAAGTAGATGAACACCAAAAAATTACCCTTACATGGGTTTTGTCAGCTTGGGACAAGCTAAACATTATTTTAACCTTGGCATATACGGCTAAGAATACCTTTTATTTATGTTTACTTAGGCTCCCTTGTTTGTCTCTTTGTGGTTTTTGTTCTTGGCATCATTGCAGACGTCAGTGAGAAAAGATTCTAGTCCTGGACAGGCAAAGTAGCTCATAAGTAGAACACAGAAATTTCTCACAAAGCAGAAAAATAAAGATATATCTGTTGTCTGTTAGCTGTGATTCTGTAACGGCATGGCATATGTCCTGTTCCAAGCCTTTTCCCTTTGCATTTTTGCAGTAACAGGCCACTTTATAGGACGTTTGCTTTGATTTTACTTCTCCAGGCATTAAGTCTCATAATTAAGTTTTCTAGTGGATAAAAAGCACATGGGTTACAGCTTTGAGATACTCTGCAGGGTTTAATTATGCCAGTTCAGGATTACCAGTTACAACTCTCCATACTGGGTCTCTTTCTTTGCATGGTTTGGACCTAGTCACCATCAATGGGAAGTCCTTCACTGATCTCAACAGGCTTTGAACCTCGGATGTAGGTGCTGGTTGGGGTAAGACTTGGATCTGCTTCCCCAAGGACCCGGGAGGACTCCCAGTGCCCAGCCTCTTGGTGGAGGATCCCATGTGAGAAGACCAACTGTATGCATGGTGGGCTGCTACCAATCACTTCTTTGTGCCATCAAAAGCACAGTCTTTTCCTAGTTGGCCTTGAAGAACTACCATAAAGTATACAGTACATGACAATGTGAGCTAGAAAGCTTATTCCAGATGAGCAAGTGATTAGAAAGTGTTTGAGAGAAAATCCTTGGCCACCACAGCAATATGATGCCAGAAAAAGTCAGTCCTTTGCCATAGGGCCATCAGGAGCTGGGGGCACCAGAGAAAAGGGCTAGATCTTGGAGACACTGCTGGCCAGAGTCTCCTTTTAGAGAAGCTTGTGATGACTCATGCCAGGATCATTCCTAAAGCCAATGAGAAACCTAAAAATCCAGGTATTTTTACTGGAAATTGCTCCCAAACCTGTAGCTGTGTGGGTACTACTTGTAATAAAAGGTTCTTCTTCACAAAAGCTTTAAGAGCTGTGATCAACAGAGAAGAACCATATTGCATGTTTTGCAGCTCCCAGTCACGTCTCTGCTGGAGATGTATGGCATCCCAGGGTGGAGCGGTCTCCTCTGCAACAACCTGTGTTCTGCTGTTGCCCTCCAAGGCCTTGTCCTCACCACCCTATGTTCGACCTCCTGGTGTGTGGCACAGCAGAAGTGAAGTGTGAAGAGGTATCCAAGCGCACAGTGACAGCTGCTTCATCCAGGACATGGCCAAGGACTGAGTGTGAACAACCCCGAGACCCTATTCTGGGAAGGTCCCCCCCTGCATTTTGGTCATCCCTCAGAGTCCCTGCACCAGCATCTCACCCAGTTACCTCATGCAAGCTGGAGATGAAACCTGAAGAGAGACTGGAAAGCCCAAAGCGCTTCTCAATGGTGGTGAGGCTGCTCTTAAAGTTGGCGCTGTAGAGGAGCTGGGAGAGCTGGAGAAGCCCGTGGCACAGCACAAACACCTGCGAGCAAAGACATGTGGCGTCCTAGTTAGTGATCTGATGATGTGTAACTGCCGGAGACCATGGCCCATGTGTGCGATTTGAGAGTCAAACACACATGGACTCAAGTTGGCCAACATAGCTGCACCTCTGACATGCAACAGATCTACTGAAGGGCTCAAACCTGGATCTTTGATCAACTTAACTTTGGAAAATGAGTGATGTAGTGCTCAAAAGAGAGGATAGGGAGCTCTGTTTTTCTCTTTCCTCTGATTTACTGTTATTAAAGTGCATTACTATTTGCACTGTGGCAACCCTTGTGCAAACCTCTAGAGCTACCCCTCCAACCCAAGAAGGACCTGTTGCACTGAGTTGTACAATGACAAAACAAGACAGGCCTGACTTCGTGTAGGCTTGGTGGCTTCTTCTGAGACCATGTTGAAGTCAACCCTGTGGCTGCTGTGTTAGAGCTGAGAGGGAGTCCATGCTGCTTTAGACTACCTGAGATGATAGAATCATAGGACAACAGAATGGGTTGGGTTGGCTTGGCTTGGAAGGGACTTTAAAGATTAACCCTTAAAGGCACCTGTGGGTTACGGTTCGGTTGGAAGGAACCTTAAAGGTCCCCAGTCCAACCCCTGCCATGGGCAGGGACACATCCCACCAGCCCAGCCAAAGTCCCGTCCAACCTGGCCTTGGGCACTGCCAGGGAGGGGGCATCCACAGCTTCTCCAGGCAACCTGTGCCAGGGCCTCACCACCCTCATGGTAAAGAATTTTTTCCTAATATCTAATCTAAATCTACTCCTTTCCTGTTTAAAGCCATCCCCCCTCACCCCATCACTCCATACCCTTGTAAAAAGTTCCTCTCCAGTTTTCTTGTATGTATTTCCAGTTGGCCCCCTGGATTCACTCAGCTGTAAAGCAAATTAACAGAACCTGCTCCAAGGGGCATTACAAGAAAAAAGTTGAAAAAGGGCTTTTAAAAGCCCCAGAGGGAAAGGATTAAATACACAAAATGTAGTCTCACTGCTGGGAGACCTATGTAGTATTCTAAAAACAGCATCTTCCCCCTCAGCCAGGCTGCGAGCCGAGCCAGAAACAAAACTGAATGGAGGCAGAGCATTCCTGGAGCGGAGGAGGGAATATGGGGAGTTTACGGGGCAAGGCAGAAGCGCGGTCGAAAGAGCCCGGGTGGCCTGGGAGAGGAAAGAGCGCTCAGCCGGGAATGCGGGAGGCAGCTCACAAGTGATTTTTTGATCTATATTTAGTCTGAACAGTTTTCCTTTATTTTTCTTGGAATGGAATGCTTTCACATGGTGCCAAAAGTATTTTAAAATATTTTTTTTAAAAAAGGAAAAAGGTCTTTTTATTTCAATTCACAGGAAATCAAATATTTGCTGAATACCGGAAGTGTGTCCCACAGAGATAACGGCGGGAAGCCTGAGATGATGAATGGGGGATCAAAGGAACTGCAGGGCTGACAAATTCCTTATGCCCTTGGCTAAGAGAGAAGCAATACTCAGTATTAGTATTTATTTGAAATGGCGGTAGCACCCAGAAGCCCTGACCCATTGTGTGAAGAAAAGAAAAACAACCAAAAACTCCACAGAAAAAGAACAAAAGTGTCCACCTGACACAGAGGATGTAAATGCCATAGGTGGGTTGAGTGGCTTTTTTTGAGGAGCAGAGGAGGACGCAGAGCCCTGGAGGTCACTTGGGGCTAGCCAGGCATTTGCAAGAGAATTCAGGTAGGAAAATCATAGAACTATTAAGGTTGGAAGAGACCTCTAATATCATTGAGTCCAACTGTCAACCAAACACCACCATGCCCACTAAACCATGTCCCCAAGTGTCACATCCACAGATTTTTTTAACTTCTCCAGGCATGGTGACTCCACCTATTCCCTGGGCAGCCCCTTCCAGTGCTTGACCACTCTTTCACTAAAGAGATTTCTCCCAGTACCCAACCTAAACCTCCCCTGGCACAACTTGAGGCCATTTCCTCTCATCCATTGCTTGTTACCTGGGAGAAGAGACCAACCCTCCTCGTTACCCACTCCTTTCAGGAGCTGTAGAGGGCAATAAGGTTTCCCCTCAGCCTCCTCCAAACTGGACAATCTATAAGAAGATGGCTTCTCAGGAAGCTTCTCCTGGGAGGGAGGGTAGCACCAGTCACAAGAGACAGCAGGGTATCTAAAAGCATAAGAGATGCTGACAAACAGCAGGAGAGAAGAGGATGGAGATGAAGAGGAAGGAGAAAATAGGGCCCTGGCAGTGTGAGGCTGTGACCAACCTGGAGACCACAGAAAAGTAGAAGGAAAAGCAGACTAAAGGAGAGGAGGTCACAGGAACCAGCTGCTGTCATGAACTCCCCACTGTGGAGGGGTGTCAGCAGACAGGCTCACATCAGGCAGGCGTCTGCCACCACAGCAGCCGAGCAGGAGAGGACAAAGTCCCAGGTGGGGACTTCACCCCCACAGAGCAAGGACATGGGGTGTAATGTGGGAAACCCTCCCCGGCAGGGACAAAGTGAAATTGAAACATCTGAATGCAAACTCTTGGAGCAGAATGACCTCTACACCCTCCAGCTATCAACTTCTACATTCAAAAACCCATCCCAGCACACGGCTCTGCAGGTGATAGCTGGATCCAGCACCTTCACATCCCAATCTTGATCTGGGATCATCTTATAATGAGTCCAGGCAGGCTGTTCTGGAGCAGAGAAGTGACTCCTGTGAGGAGGAGGAACAGAGAGGGAGATCTTCTTGCCAGAAAATGACAATTTTGGTTCCTGCGGCTCCGGCCAGACCCTACTGAAGTCATTTAAGTAGGGAAGTGCTGGCTGGGGCCAGGACCACCTGGGATGCAGAGCAGCTGGAGGGAGAGCCCTCTTGGTGTGAGGCGTTGGCTGGAGAAGCCAAGCTGTTTACCAGTGGGGAGGGGAAAGGGTGGATCGCCACGGCCACAGCAAATGTCAGCCCCATCTCATGGCAGACGGGGAGATGGGAGGATACTGACAGGGAGGGAAGATGAGGAGAAGAGGCAGCCTGGCACCCTGAAATGCTGGGGGTGGCAGGGGATGGGGAGAATGCAAAGGCATGGAAGGACCATGGGGACCAGCACTGACTGTGCTTCACGAGAGGATGGAGAAGAGAGGGACAAGAGGGCAGGCAGGACAAGGCAGAGCTGGGGCTGCTGGCCACAAGGGACAGCGAGGTGGGAGAATTGCAGCTGGAGTGCAACAATGCCCTCATCAAGAGAGACTTTGGGGTGCGACTGCACCCATTCTGCCCGTGAGCCTTTCTAACCGGGCTCCTGCAAGCAGAGTGGGCAAGAAAGGAGGAGATGCTCAGAGGACCCAATCCTGCCCCGCTGCCGGCACTGGGACCACACAGCAGCCCCAGCCCTTGGATGCAGAGAGCCTGGAGGATGGGAGGGGGAAGGCAGAGGAGATTTATTTTATTATTTTTTTTCTCGGGAAGAAGCTGCCACCCAAAACAGTTGGAGAGAAGCAAAACAGCCTTTGGGCCAGGACTCATGCAGCTGGAGCTCGGCTTTTCCGAGCTTGCTTCAACTGTCCGGAGGTGAGAGAAAGACCTGGTTTCAGACTCCCCCTGTGTTCAGCAGACTCAGTTCTCATTAAAATAACAATGGCTGAACCTTGAAGGCTCTGAGGAGAAATACCATGGGCTTATGTGAAGAGCTCCCCAAAAGGAGCTTGTGCTCTGCCTGATGCTCTGTCTGGGAAGAGCAGACGCCCCGAGGCTGGTGGAGATGCAGGGCACCACTCTCCCATGTCCCCTCATGTCCTCATGGGTCTCTCCCACCCCTGTCCCTCTCTCCATGCATCCCCAGCCCCACATGTCCATGCTGACCACCGAAAACCTGCCAGCCCATGGGAACCGGCACCAACCCGGTCCCTTCCAGCTGCAGAGAGCACCAGATGTGCTGTGCCAGCCCCTCGCCCCCCACAACAACCCCAGGAGGGGACAGAGCTGCTATCATCCATCTTCGATTAATGCTCAACGAAGACAGAGGTTTTTAAAGAAGAGCCAAACTCATCTGAAGGGAGGTTTTGCTGACGCAAAGCCAGCACCACAGCACTGAAGGCGAAGGCACAGTGGGAGGTAAAAGAGCTGGGGACGCTCTCATGAATATGAAGTGCTGACCCCCTGGAACAGACGGTCCCAGCAGAGCCTGGCGCATTTTCTGGAGCTGCAGGCAAGCAGCAAGCATGGGCAGCCAGGGAGCAGAGGGAGAGGCCAAAGGCATGCATCCACCCGCACACAAAATCCCCTCTTAATCACCCCCATGTTTCCTTCAGAGCGCCTGAGTGATCCCGACTCTGGGCTGTTTATACAAGACACTTGACTGCTTTCCAAGACACACTTCATTTGAAAGGGAAGCTAAAGCCTGGGGAAGGTCTCTCGCAGACACATCGCTCCCCCTGCCCCAGTTCATGGGGACAAGCACCTCCTAGGGCAATGCCTTTTTGTAAGGAGGGCACACCCACCCCGTGGCAGGGATCAAAGGAGACTTGGTCCCTCCGTGGTCTGGCCAACACTTCTCAGGTGTAGAGCAGAATGTTGGCTGCTCTTCAAATCAATCCCAACCCAAACCTTCTTCAGAGATGTGTTCAACACACACGTGGCCCAGAGGGGTGCTGGGGCAGTCTGGGCTGCAGGCGGTCCCCAAGCACAGGGATGCTAAGATCCTATCCTGGCACCAGGATGTCTCCATGGGATGCCAGGTATGGGCTGGTGCACTCCTGGGAAATATCTGAGATGCCATTTCAGCCCTTGCAGCCACCTCAGAAGACCCAACTTGCACCCTTTCCACTGCCCTGAAGCTCATGGAGAATAAAATAAGGCTCTAGGAGGAGAGAGAGGGTCTCCCAGTCTGATCCCATAAAGCAGACAAGGACGATGAAGGCAGAGACAGGGGGTGACTCTGTCCTAGAGGTGGATGCTCCTGGGGTTGAAGGGAGGTTGCATTGCCCCACATCACATACTGGGTCCC